AAAAGTATCGGTATCGGGCGAGTACTGAAAAAAGTGGTATCGGTGCATCCCTACTGTTTACTGATCCTGGTAGAGTAGACTACAATGCCGGCTGTTCTGACTCACAGACTGTAAGTACGTTTTTTTATATTTAAAGAATTTGCCACTGATGAGTCAAACGCGAGTTTTGGGCAGTGTAGAGTAGCGCTTGTTGTTTGTTATTTCTCCGATCACAAATGCAGACATGGTTTTATGTTTACGCGGCGCGATGCAACGCAATGCGTAAAAAGACAGTATAAGTCATTATAATCCGTAATTATGTCCCCACTGGATGCAACAAATGCCTCGTTTATAATGGGTTTTAATGTTTTTGTCTCGTCGTTCCGGCCGGACAGGGCATCACTCTAGCCCGCCGCCGCTCACTCAGGCCCCATCACAGTATGGTAAGGGGCGTAACATTTCAGGGGCGTTTCAGAAAGGCGGGGTATAGAGGAGCAACAATAATGTACAGTATGTGGAAAATAATGTGTTTTTTTAACCTTAATACAACACAAAATAATGTTCTTTTTAGCAACATCATATGACCCCTTTAAATTCTCAATGTAAGCTATTTGCTTTTCGGCTGGACTCCACAAGGTTGAACTTTGATCCGTTGGGTCTGTTTGTACTGGTTGAGAATCGCATCTATTGGCTTTTACTCAGAATTTCTGTCAGATGCGGGATTTACAAGGGCAATTTCATGATTAGCCAAAGTGGTTACAACGGTAATATCGGATTTAAATAAATAAATAAGTAAACAAAATAGCATAATAAAAAAGTCCCATTTAATAATCATACAAAAGATACGATTGAAATTAGAATATGGAGTAGCCTATAAAAACGTAAAGTATTGATACTCCAGCTCAGCAATATCATTTACATTTCTTAGTTATAGGTTCAGGGGAAAAACCGTATCACGGTTTACACCAAGAAGTCTTGGTGTACCCCTTATTCATATGTAAATGTAGCCTATTTAAAGTGTATTTAATTACTTAAAAAGCAGAGCTGGGCATTACTTACAAATTGTAGTCCGTTACTGATCCCAAATTACATGACAAAATTTGTAGTTAGTAACGTAATCCATTACACATTTCAGGTAATATAATCAGACTACTTTTTGATTACTTTTAGATTAAATAAAGAATAACCTGAATTTGTGCATGTTAATGTGTTTGAAAGACAAAAGTCTTCCAAAGACTGACTAAGCCACCGGACTAATGACTGGTCTTTGTGTAAATGTCCACAAAACGGAAGACTTTCTGAGTGTATATAAGTGGTAGGCTATTTTACAAAGGAAGATTTAAAAGATGGAAAAGAGGAATTAGGTATATATAGTTTATAAAAATGGAATATAAATGGTTTCATAAGTGGTTTCATAACTTGATAGGCCACTTTCATACATTAAGTATGGAATCAGCTGACTGAAATGCATAAAATGAGTTTTGTAGACAAATATAAATCTTGCCTATAGTTTGGAGAGTAAATTAAAAGCACAAATGATTTTTTATATGACGTGCTGGCCCTATCTGCTATCATAGCTAAATAATCTGAAAAAGTTGCCAGCAAATTGAATTTTCTCACATAAACATGTTTATTGTGGTTATACGTCTTTTTTTTTTTTACTGTATTTGTGAACAAATTACCATAATTGTGTAGAATCATATTAACATACATTAACTTTGAACTTACTATTCAGACAAAAACAAAGATGAACTAAAAAATAATAAATAAAGGGAATTATAATATATAACAGAAGTGTAATAGTTACAGTAGTCTGACGATGTCAAGCTTAATTTTAGACCGATTCACAGAGCCTGTAAGCATAAAGCATGTTGTGTCAAAGGTTTAGTTGCTGGTAAACCTTTCACATTAATAGCTGTAAAGCTACTCAGTACTGGACCACTGGAATGCGCATCTGTGGTAAGAACTGAAGAATTCTCGCTGAGTATTATGGCTGTCTCTGCGATAGAAGACTTTAAAACATGTTCATCATTCTGATGCTTAATCGTATTGACAAATGTATGAGCTTTATGCCCTTCAATCAGCTGATGGCATTCAGTGACAGAGCTTATAGTTAATGTCTGTAGGAAATGTTGACTCCAAGATGGTTTCCTCTTCTTCATCATCAGTGTCCAAAAGCTCCATTTCAAACCAATTTGGATTCTTCAACTGGTAATTTTTAAAAGCTTCAATAGCATCCCGAAGCCCTTGTCCTGATGGACAGCAGATGTAATCATTCTCCCTAATGCCTTCAATGCACTTAATCTGTCCTGGCTCATGTTTTTCCATGTCTAGGATTCGGAAGTAAAGTTCTTCAAAGTGCTTCATGAGTTTGTACTTCACCACGACGTTAAAAGGTGCCGGAACGTCATCCTCACTGCACACATCATCAAAATAAGCCACCATGTACTTGTGGAAAGATGAAGCATGAACAAAATCCGGTATAATGAGGCTCAGAGCCGGCGTGAGCATGTCTCCTATGGGTGAACGTTCATCCTCCTTCAGTCTCACTTTGTGCTCACCGCACATGGCCTTCCACTTGGCATGTACGCCTGGAGAGCACAAGATCAGGACTTTATCTGAGGACTTGGAGATTCGTTCCCTTTGCATATCCAGCCACTGAATTCTGCCGATTGTGCTGAGCCAGGCAGAGTCCAGGAGATCTAGAGTCTACTTTTTGATTACTTTTAGATTAAATAAAGAATAACCTGAATTTGTGCATGTTAATGTGTTTGAAAGACAAAAGTCTTCCAAAGACTGACTAAGCCACCGGACTAATGACTGGTCTTTGTGTAAATGTCCACAAAACGGAAGACTTTCTGAGTGTATATAAGTGGTAGGCTATTTTACAAAGGAAGATTTAAAAGATGGAAAAGAGGAATTAGGAAGAATCAATAAATTATGAGTAATTTATTTGCTATGTAGACAAATATAAATCTTGCCTATAGTTTGGAGAGTAAATTAAAAGCACAAATGATTTTTTATATGACGTGCTGGCCCTATCTGCTATCATAGCTAAATAATCTGAAAAAGTTGCCAGCAAATTGAATTTTCTCACATAAACATGTTTATTGTGGTTATACGTCTTTTTTTTTTTTACTGTATTTGTGAACAAATTACCATAATTGTGTAGAATCATATTAACATACATTAACTTTGAACTTACTATTCAGACAAAAACAAAGATGAACTAAAAAATAATAAATAAAGGGAATTATAATATATAACAGAAGTGTAATAGTTACAGTAGTCTGACGATGTCAAGCTTAATTTTAGACCGATTCACAGAGCCTGTAAGCATAAAGCATGTTGTGTCAAAGGTTTAGTTGCTGGTAAACCTTTCACATTAATAGCTGTAAAGCTACTCAGTACTGGACCACTGGAATGCGCATCTGTGGTAAGAACTGAAGAATTCTCGCTGAGTATTATGGCTGTCTCTGCGATAGAAGACTTTAAAACATGTTCATCATTCTGATGCTTAATCGTATTGACAAATGTATGAGCTTTATGCCCTTCAATCAGCTGATGGCATTCAGTGACAGAGCTTATAGTTAATGTCTGTAGGAAATGTTGACTCCAAGATGGTTTCCTCTTCTTCATCATCAGTGTCCAAAAGCTCCATTTCAAACCAATTTGGATTCTTCAACTGGTAATTTTTAAAAGCTTCAATAGCATCCCGAAGCCCTTGTCCTGATGGACAGC